TGTTCACATATTGCACCATGGTGTCATCAGTGGTGATCTCTTCATCTTCTCCTAATTGACATGCCTCTTCATGCCCTCTATTTTCAGCTTCTGTGTTTATTGCGGGTGGAGGTGTGGTTGCATCTTCCTGAGAGGCACTTGCAGACTCTGAACTTCCTCCCGAACCATTATCAGACTGGCTACCTTCTTCCTATCTACTTCTGAAACTGCTACCTTCCTCTTCAGACTAGGAAGTAGTGTTCTGGAGGATGACCCTCGTTGTACTGGATCTAGTAGCTTGAGGTGGGTGATCTTCAGGTGTAACATTTATCCATACCTCCGAACTACTAGATTCCTGAGTATGATCACCTTCGGATTGCGAAGCAGTAGGTGAGGAAGGTGGAGCTGCGTTCTTTCGTCGGGAGCCATAGTACCTGAACAATGCAAAGACCCATTAATAACCAATTCAGTAAAACGACACACTATCGGGTACTCAGACTTCCCCTGTAACGCCTTGCCTTAAGAAAGCCGTCACCCAATCTATCATTGGGAAGGGTCACGAAATCAAACTACATAAAAGAAATAAAAATACAGAAAGTAAAACTAGATTTTTCTAAATACGGGAGCCAAGATGGGTCGTGGTGGGTGCCACGGTCCGTGAAGACCCTCATGAGTTGGTGACTTGACTCTGTGGGTCAGTGTACTAGAATGGATTACGGATGGCTTCACGGTCTGTGGAGTGAACCATGGTCCGTGAAGACCATCGTGATCCTTCTAGTATACTTCTTTTTTGCCAAGTGTGGTGCACGAGGGGTGTCATGACTCATTGTTGATTCCACGGTCCGTGAAGCCCATCATTGACTTACACTTGGCCCTTTTTCAGTGCTCTTTCCTTCCAACAACAACCTATGCCTAATTTCACCTCATCAGGAAGTTACGAGATCTATTAACACATGAGTTCAACCAATCTACCACATATATCAATCGTCATTTACATCAAACATAATTACAACCTAACTTTGATCATACCCACATGCACATGAATGCAATTATGGCCTTTCAACAATTTTATTTACACAATTCATTAAGGCGGACATGCTTGGAACTCCTTTGTATTCAACTTCACACTAATGTCAACATGTACCACTAGTTTATCCCAAATTCCTCATACCCATACACAATAACCATCAGATTTATCCATTTTAAACCTACCCACAACAATTCAATAGCACAACGACAGTATATCACATAATATTGTTAAAGTTCGATCAAATAATAATAATTCTAACTTGTTTATAGATAAGATCAAACTTGTAACAAGTGAATAGAGAACTTACTTTGAGGATGATCACAATTTTCGCCCAAAAAGTAGAAATATGACTGTCCCTTCGATTTCGAGATACTAGCACACTAGGGTTGGAATCAAGGATGAGTATAAGAAGTTTTAGAGATTAGAAACTATAGTATTCTTTTAGTAACCGTTATACAGGAGAAAATAGGAGGAAAACCCGACCTTTGGCACTTAGGAAGTACATATACGTTTTATTTTTAACTTTGTTTCACGCGCGGGTCGGGTCGGTTTGCTGGTAATGTTGGGTTGTGGACAGCGGATTGTGAAGTTGCCCGTGAAAGGTATCACGATGCGTGAAGTCTTTCGTGAACCTAACTTCGGAAAGCAAAATCACTTGAGGTTCACGAGAGACTAGACGATCCGTACAGGACTGACGGATCGTGAACCCTTCCGTGAACCATATGATGGCAAATTCCAGTAGCTTCCTTGGGTTGGTGTTGATATTGATGAGACGTGAAGTTTCCCGTGAAGGACACCATGACCTATGGGACTGCTCGTGAAGAGCTGTCTGCACCCAGTTCCTCCAATTCTTAGTCCTAGTCTTTCCTGCACACATCAACACACAATGACTATATAAACAAAGAAAAATTGAGTAAAAGTAAACTACCTATTACAAATACAATCTTGGGTTGCCTCCCAAGCAGCGCACAATTTAACATCACGGTGCGACACAGGTTACTTGATTACTTAGACTTTATCAAGTTTACATTCCCCAACTATCTTCACTTCTTCAAGAACATCTAAGTATGCCTTAATTTGCAAACCGTTGGCATTGAACCTCTCACCCTTGTCATTGTCAAGCTCAATAGCACCCGATTGGAACACCTGAGTTACCTTAAAAGGTCCAGGCCGTTTGGATCTCAGTTTCCCAGGAAACAAATGAAGTCTGGAGTTGAAAAGCAACACTAAGTCACCAGGGGTGAAGGTTCTCTTCTCAATATGCTTATTATGATACAACTTCATTATCTCCTTGTATAGTGCAGACCTCTCATACGCTCTCAAACGGAACTCATCCATCTCATTAATCTGATCCAGTCTTAGGTTTATTGTTTCACCCCAACTAAGATTCAGCTTCTTTAAAGCCCAGAGTGCGTTATGCTCAAGCTCAACCGGCAAATGACATGCCTTTCCAAACACCAATTGATTTGGAGACATACCAATAGGCGTCTTGAAAGCTGTCCGATATGCCCATAGAGCATCATCTAACTTTCGTGCCCAATCTGTCCTGTTGGCATTCACTGTTTTAACAAGAATCACCTTTATTTCTCTATTGGACACCTCCACTTGGCCACTGGTCTGTAGGTGATAAGGTGTTGCCACCTTGTGCTGTTTAACCCCATATTTGGCCAGAAGCGCGTTGAATACTTTGTTGCAAAAATGGGAACCGCCATCACTGATAAGGACTCTGGGTGTGACAAACGTTGAGAAGATGTTCTTCTTCAGAAAGCTAGCAACACTCTTGCCATCATTCTTAGGCAAAGCAACTTCCTCAACCCATTTGGACACATAGTCCACTGCCACCAATATATACTTTTGCCCATAGGAGCTCACAAATGGTCCCATGAAATCACCCACACGTCAAACAGCTCCACCTCCAGAATAGGTGTCGTGGGTAAGTCATGGCGCCGAGAGATGGCTCCTTGTTGCACACATCATAACTCCTTACTATGTCCATTGCATCCTGATGAACTGTGGGCCAATAGTACCCACACTAAAGTACCTTGTGGGCTATCTGAGCACCTCCATGATGGCCACCTACTGGAGAGGAGTGACATGCATCTAGAATATGCAACATCTCAGCTTCGGGGATGCATCGCCTAATGATATTATCAGCACACACCCTGTAAAAATAAGGTTCATCCCAGAAATACTTACTGACATCATGCAGAAACCTCTTCCTTTGCTGAAATGTCAGCCCTTCTGCATCAAATCACTAACAAGAAAGTTAGCAAAATCAGCAAACCAAGGAATAAGATCAAGAGTAGTGGCTAATACCTACTTATCCGGGAATGAATCATTTATTTTGAGCTCAAGTTCCTCTTTCTTTTCAGCCTCCAACCTAGACAGGTGATCAGCCACCTGGTTTTCACAACCTCTCCTATCCTTAACCTCAAAATCAAACTCCTGGAGTAGCAATACCCATACGATCAACTTTGGTTTGGCATCTTTCTTTGCCATGAGGTATCTCAGAGCTGCATGATCCATGTGGACTATCACTCTAGTACCCAACAAGTAAGCTCTGAATTTCTTGAAAGCATATATACACCACAACCAGTAGTTCCTGTTCAGTGACTGTGTAGTTTCGCTGTGCTCCATTCAGTGACTTGCTAGCATAATAGATCGGATGGAACATTTTGTTACGCTTTTTCCCCAACACAACTCCTAGGGCAGTACCACTAGCATCACACATTACCTCAAATGGCTTAGCCCAGTCTGGGCCAATGATTACCCGGGCAGAAATCAACTTCTCCTTCAAGCATTCAAAATCTCTTAGACATGCCTCATCAGAAGTAAATCTCACCTCCTTCTCCAAAATCTTGCACAAGGGGTATGCAATTTTCTAGAAGTCCTTGATGAAACGCCTATAAAACCCGGCATGTCCTAAGAAGCTTCAAACACTCTTCACACGTATAGGGGAGGAAACTTTTCAATCACCTCAATTTTTGCTTTATCGACCTCTAACCCCTTTTGTGATACCTTGTGCCCAAAGACTATGCCTTCCTTGACCATGTAATGGCACTTCTCCCAGTTCAACATTAGATTGGCCTCCTCGCATCTCTGTAAGGCCCTGCGAAGATTAAGCAAACAATCATCAAATATATCACCTACCACTGAAAAATCGTCCATGAATACCTCCAGAGTGTCCACCATGTCCGAGAAGATAAACATAATGCACCTTTGGAAAGTTGCTAGTGCATTACATAGTCCAAATGACATGCGTTTAAATGCAAAGGTGACATAAGGACATATAAAAATGGTTTTTTCCTTATCTTTAGGAGCAATTGATATCTGGTTGTAGCCAGAGTATCCATCTAAGAAACAGTACCACCCTTTTCCAGCCAACCTGTCAAGCACTTGGTCCATGAATGCATCGGGAAGTGATCCTTCAAGGTCCACTTGTTCAGCTTCTTGTAGTCCATCCACACTCGCCATCCCATGACTGGTCTTTATGGGACAAACTCATTCTTTGCATTCGCCACCACTGTCATACCACCTTTTTTGGGTACACATTTTACTGGGCTGACCCAGTGACTGTCAGAAATGGGGTACACCACCCCAACATCTAACCACTCGATGATCTCTTTTTTGACCACCTCTTGCATTAGTTGGTTTAACCTCCGCTGGTGCTCAATGCTTGGGCTACAATCCTCCTAAAGTTGGATCTTATGAGTGATATACTCGGAGGTATCCCGATGATGTCAGCAATGGTCCACCCAGTTGCCCTTTTGTATCTTATCAACACTTTGATCATAGCTTGAACCTATTCATCATTTAAATCTGCAGCCAAAATCACATGCAAAGTGTTGTTAGTGCCCAAAAATACATACCTTAGGTGACTGGGTAATTGTTTCAATTCCAGCATAGACGTCTCCTTAATGGATGGTTTTGCTGGAGGGCTTGACCTGTTTTTCAAATCCAGGTCCAATTTCTTTGGATCATAAGAGTGTGCTTACATACCCCGTAAGGCATTTATGGTTTCCACATAATTAGTCCAGAAATCTACTTCAAAATTCATCAACACGACTGCTAATGTTTCAACAGCCAGCCTCTCCTCAATGGTTGCTCTCATCTCTTTTTCATCAATAACTTCTATCGAAGACACCACATTCATGTCATGTGGCTGTTTCATTGACTTGCAAATATTAAACTTTACCTCTTCTTTGTTGAGTCTGAACTTTAGTTCTCCTCTCTCAACATCTACCAATGCTCGTCCTGTGGCCAAAAATGATCTTTCCAAAATTATGGGAACCTCAAAATCCACTTCGCAATCCAAGATCACGAAGTCTTCGGGAAAGATGAATGTCTCCACCTTTACGAGCACATCACATAGGATGCCCACAGGTTGCTTCACTGACCTATCTGTCATCATGAACCTCATTTATGTGGGTTTTGAAACTTTTTACCCCATCTGCTTATAGATGGCCAGCGACATCAAGTTTATACTGGCCCCTAAATCACACAAGGCCTTCACAAATTTGATTGATCCGATGGTGCACGATATGGTGAATGCACCCGGATCCTCTTTCTTCTGTACCAGAGATCTGGTAGCTATAGCACTGCAATGATGAACATTTTCAGTCAAATCATACTTACAACTCTTTTCTTTGTGACCAAGTCCTTCATGAACTTGGCATATTCTGACATGTGCTCTAGTGCTTCCATCAATGGGATATTCACTGATAACTGTCTCAACATGGTGATGAATTTAGAAAATTTTCCATCTTCGGCTTTCTTTTTAAGCCTTTGAGGGAAAGGAGAAGGTGGTCTTGGGATCTGCTGCAAACGCCTAGTTCCCTCAACCCCTTTATATGGTGCTCCTTCTTGTTTTTCTATTGGTTGAGCATCCTCTGAGTCATATACATGTTCAGCTTTGGTCTCCTCTCTTCCAGTTTGCTCCACCACCTGTTCGTTTTTAGTACCTGAAGAAATTGGGTCATTAAGAATCTTACCACTCCTGGTGGCGATAGCCATGCAATGCCCGTCCTTCTTAGGATTTTGAATAGTATCACTTGGTAGTGACCCATTCTTCCTCTGGTTCAGTGATGCTGAAAGTTGCCCCAACTGCTGCTCTATTTGCTTGATGGAGGTAGTGTGATAATCTACTAGTTGACTCATATTGGAAAAGTCACCTCTCATCTCCTTCACCCCTGCATCAGTTGACTCAAACTTTTTAGAGCACCTTAGCCATCATGTCTTCTAGATTAGATCCACTGGAACTACCACTTGCCCGGTCTCTATTACCTGGGGGCACATACACACCATTGCGATCATTTCTATACCCATCTCTATTCTGCCAGTTTCCCTGCTCTCTAGTTCCCGGTCTGTCATACTGTCTATCCCTTGAGTAGTTCTGAACTGCATTTCCAAAATTGTAACCCTGGTTTCCCGAGTTATAATTCCGGAAACCACCTTGGTTGCCCAAGTATTTAGCCTCCTCATCTAGATCAATGTCTTGATCTTCATACTTATTTGGAGTTCCTACAACATTTACCTTTTCAGAACTCGCAACAATATGCTTCGTGAGCAGATCTATCTTGGTCCTCATGTGTGCCATGTCCTGATCTCTTTCTTCTTTTCTTTTCCTTTGTTCAATTGAAAGTTCAAAAGTGAACCCCAAGATCCCCTACTTCTGCATCCCTGGTGTACTATGCCCTATTATTCTTAGACACCTCATCCATCAGATGCATGCTCTCTGAGAATGGCTTCCTCATGAATGATCCTCCACACACTGCATCAACAACAATTTTAGTAACATAATTTAAGGATCTATAGAAAGCCTGCTTTAGATGTCTCTCAGTGAGACCAATGGTTTGGACATTTTTTCAGATTTTGGTTAAATCTCCACCAAGTGTCATGCATCGCTTCTCCTGGTAATTGCTTATGGGCACTTATCTCATCCTTCATTTGTAGCTCTTTTGATTCTGGAAAGAATCGTTCCATGAAGGACTTCTTCAGTTGAGTCCAAGTCCTGATTGGTCGCCTCCCCAGTAAGAGACAATGGGAATAACCTCAATCTCATTGCTGTCTGGCTAACCCCAGGAATTTCTTGCGATTTGTATATCGCCACAAAGTTTATCAGATGTTGATTAGCATAATCACCAGCTTCTCCCCTGAACATACCTTTCAGATTAAGCAGTTGAATCATAATACTGGTGATTGTGAATTTCACACCTGGAGGTAGTGCAGGTAACACTATCGCTCCTGTGGCTCCATCTCCATCCTAGTCTAAGTCATCCTCTTCATGCATCATGTGAGCTGGATTCTATGCTCTATCCCTTGGAGCTATTGGTTGGCGGTGGGGAGGAATGATTTCATCTACCGCTATGTTTTCTTCCACCAGCTAGGCGGGTTGTTCACAACATTCGATTGAATACCTCTTGAAGCGGTTTTAGCTTCCGGTCCCAGTCCTTGCCTCTAAGCCTTAAGTTCTTGTGCATTCACCATTTTACGGAGTGTCTTCCGAAGTTCTGGGTCGTATGGGATCAATGTGGCTCCCTTACTTCTGGTATTTGGCACACTATCGAACTCACCTGAAAGATACACAGACAAAGAACAAGACGTAAAATTAGAAAATATAACTACACGTCGAATAAAAGCTAGTAAAACACTTTTGAATTGAAATTCCCCGACAGTGGTGTCAAAATTTGATACGTCCAAACTTACACCTCAATTAAGAGGTATAAACGGTCAAAGTCAATTTATAGAACTCAATGTGAGCTGAGGTCGATCCCATAGAGAATTTCTTTACAAAAATGATTTCCCTGTCGCATTTTACTTAACTGTCGTTATTATTTTCTAAGGAAACAGTTACGGAAAGTAAAATTGGGTTTAGCTATAAAGCTCTAGTAACAAAGGTTGTTAACTAAGATCTAATGTAGAAATTAACAGAATATCAGTTCTAAAGTTGTTTCGATAATTAAATGAAACTAGGATTCTGTTCCCCATAACGTTCCATCTAAGGTTCTTCCGTATTTGAGTTTCAGGCAATTTATCTCTGCAAAATACAGACGATCTAAATATATCTGATACTTCTCAGTCTAATCAGATAATTTTTACTCAAGTCCTCTCGGTCCTAGAGTGTTACACGTTTTACCCTTGCTTACAATAGTGTTAAAGTTCTTTTCTCTCGAACTTGAACTTTGACTCCATTTCTTTAGGTTAATTTAGTTTTTTCCTAACTATCATTTTTCTCTCGAACTAATGATAGATACAGTCTCACCGTAATGCGTGCACTCATTAGAATACATGATTAATGAAAGCTCAATTTTACTTTGCAAATGTAAATCATCTTTCATTCATTTTATGAAATTACATTTAGATTTACGTCATATATCCCACAATCCCAGTTGTGGTATTTATGTCACGCCCCGAACCTACACCCTGGACGTGGCTGGCACTCGAATACCATTGCTGGCCTCAAGCAAACCCTTGGCCTGGCTTACTAACTCAGCGAAAGACTTAACTAATCACATTAACATTTATGAAGTAACTATAATGTTATAAAGGAACATTCAACTGGCCATTAAGGCAAACTCAAGTCTTAAACAATACAAATGAAATGAATAAGACTAAAGAACTAACATCTGACTGTCTATGAAGCCTCTAATAACAACTGAGATGAATGTTGGGACAGACCCCACAACATCCTAATAAACTAAACTAGAAAGCAATGAAATGGATCCTCCGAAAAGCAAGGAGGCTCACCAACAGACTCTAAACTGCTCACTGGATCAACGATGCGTCGGAATGCCGATCCTATTTACCTGTGTCTGCATCATAATAAGATGCAGGCCATCTGGCATCAGTACATTGAATGTACGAGTATGCGAGTTGGAATGATAAAACAACATAGGCTTGAGAGGGAAATCTGAAAGAAACACTTACCTTGGCTCTTCTCAACTCTTGAATACTTACTGAACTCATTTCAATATAAAAAAGTTTAAACAAGTGCAATATAAAGAAAAGCTATTTAAAAACATGATGTCAACTCTGTGTATATACAAGGATACAACATAACTCTGAAATGTATGTAAAAATACAATAAACTAATGTATATAAAAATACAATAACTTCTGTGGGAGTTTCTCTAACCGATATCCATCACAAAAGAGCTATAGTGATGATATAGTGATCTACCTCACGCTGCCAGGGCATCCTATACCCGTCCAAAGGTATAGAACCTGAACTGCCTAATGGATCAACTAGTCTATTTCGGAAAGGATTCATCTAAACAATATGACCCTTTTCTACCCATGGTGGCTACATGGTTCTATGGTGATGTGAGTTATCTAAACTCATGCTCGTCCCCAATTCGGTGCCTAATACTACTCCCAAAATATATGGCTCTTATATTTTTAAAAATATACTTCTTCTGTGATTTGAGATTAGTGCTCAAAAACTTAGCTCAAATGCTATCTTGGAAATCAAAGTTTCCCCTCTTGCTTCATTTAGAAAGCGATTACTTTTTCTGAAAACTAGCCCAAAGGCTCTTTGGAAATCTCAGTTTCCATTCTTATTTAAATTTGAAAACATTTTAAATCTCTTTGGGAATACTTAGTCCCCATATACTTTTGAAGAAATGAACTTCAAACTTTACTCTTTACTCCTTACTCAACTTGAACTTTAAGTCTTAAAACAAAGTTAAAACATTTGGAAAAGACTTTTAGAAAACTCTAAGAACTTATCTTGACTTTGATCTTAACTTTCCTTGAATTGGATTATGGATTCAAGGTTCATGATCTCATATTTATGGATAATTTCATGATGTTTAGATGTACCTTAGAGTGTTAGAATCAACTAGGAAACATAGGTACATCACTTAGGAACTAGTACGAAAAGGTGGGGGGAAAATGGGGAGAACTGGTGTCCCTGGCACTCTGAGAGGTGCGGGGCGCCAGCCCTCAAACTTCAGAGGAGGTGCTGGGGCACGATGCCTAGAGCATCTCCCCAAGGGGTGAACATCAGAGCCCTTTTAGGGGCGCGCTGGCTGGCGCAACGCCCCACCCCCTTCCCTAGGTTTTTGACGATTTTTCTTCTTCGTTTTCAGCTCTAAACCTTCTAATCCTCAATGGTTCTTTCCCCAAACACTTAGAATCATTAGTACCCTCAATACCCAATAGATTTAACTCGAAAAACAATCTAGAAACACGAATCAAATCAACACTGGGCATTCAACAATCAACCAACAAGAATTCGACAATGTTCTTCAAGAACCTTAACATGTAAACAACTCCAAATCATTGAATTGATATAAGTTGGTGTGTGGGTGAACTAACTCAACACGAAAAGATCTCACATACCTTAATAGGGATCACCCCCGACGAATTCCACTCCAAACGCTTGACATTCTTTGCGAAATCTTGCTTTTCTCCCTTTCTTTCTTCCTTTCTCTTTTCTCCAAGCCCTAAGCGTCAATTAACTTTTGTAATCTGACCAAAATAAGTTTTTTACCCCAATAAATCCCTAAAAACGAATTAGGAATTAAATTAGAGAAAAGGCTACTTTGCCCTTCCCTAAATCCGGATTGGGACTTTCCTCAATCCAACAACCCAACTTCCGAAAGGCATATCTCTCACTCATATGATGTCAAAATGGTGCAAACTTGGTGGCGTTGGAATGATATCTCCAAGGGATTTCCAACCATATCAAGATCTGCTCTTAAATCATCCTGAGCTAGGAGTTATGACCGTTTGAAAATGGCCAAAACTCACTTTCTTTAACTTAGACAAAATTTCCAGATTTTTCTTATTCTTTCCAAAAATAAAAAAATTTCATATTTTAAACTCTCTATAGTCGTTTGTAGGTGCGAGATGTTACAATTTAGCCACTCATGATTTCACGTAAACATACAGAAGAATATAATGAAAATATGATGAGAAAAATACTTACTAAAATAAGCAAATTGATACACACTTAGATAATTCCAGACCCGGAAAATTCAACTTCTAAACTTAATTCGATGTTAATCTTCAAAAACAAAAACTAAGAATATTTTAAAAACTTGTTCTTCGTTCCAGATAAAATGAGATAAAAACTAAGAACGACCTAATTAATTCAAATAAAGTGTTTTAAAAAGAGTCCTACTCGAAGCAGGACTGAACTGTCGGACACTTCACTACTATTTCCACGATCCGTCAAGGGCTTCACGGTCTGTGAAGTCCTTTGTGCTCTTCACTTGGACTCACCCAAAACAGGTTCTGTAAGACATGTGCACTGAATCATTACCACGGACACCACCACGACTCGTGACAATGACCACGATCCGTGTAGTTGTCCGTGGTCTTCACTTGATAAATTCCCTCTTCAACTTTACAATGCCCCTTCACTGTATCATCACCACGGACACCACCACGACTCGTGACAATAATCACGGTCCGTGCAGTTGTCTGTGGTCTTCACTTGGTCAATTCCCTTTTCAACTTTTCATTGCCCATTCACTGGCTCATCTTCACGATTCTCACCACGGACTGTTGTGAGGACCACGACCCGTGAGGTTGGTCGTGGTCTTCACTAGGTTTAATTCTCGTTCAGCTCCTCCAACCCTCAGCACTGGTT